AACCACAACCTTAATATAACCCTATAACCAATTGTAATATTTTTTTTTTTATGAATCCACAGCTCCTAGGGCAACTGTAAAATCGAACAATAGGAACTAGCAAAATAACGTTGGAAAATGGAAGATTAGTTTTGGTTCGGGTGGGTGGAGGAAACGGGTCGGGTCGGATTGGATTGGGCTGCAGTTGTGTTTGGTTCTCTTATTTTCCGGTTGCAGAATCCACATGACTCTTCCATGGAGATAAGTCACTTTACTTCCTTATTACCATTAAAATCCCATGCTTTGCTTAGCTTTTAATATATTTTGATTGTAGGAATGTTTGGTGTTTCATGTACTAGTTGTATTTTGTGTGTGATTTCAAAACATTAAATGTTCATTGTTGTTCCTCAAACTACATGTATGTAGTTGTAGTTGTAGTTGATTGTGTGGATTGTGCTATGATTTTGAATTCCCATTGCACCTTAGTTATTACTATATAACTACAGATAGTATTCTTCGAATGCCTTTCAACTCTTTTTCGATGTAGAGTTGTCACAAACAAAGTTGAAAAATCAAAATAGCATTTGCAAAAAATTGTCCCAAAAACATAATATATGAAAAATATATTATAATTGAATTTTAATATTTAATTTATGATACCTTAACCACGAACAATCGTTTGATAACAAAATGCTTTGGCCTTTCTTAAGGGATATAATGAGATTCCATATTCAAAACAACATCATATTTATTGCATAATGATGTGATTTTATTCTTGCAAAACTCCTTTAGTTACAAAACAAGTCTCAATAGTATCAACCTATTTTCTTTGCAAAGCAAAAGCAAGACGCTAATCGTTGGTGTATCTAAATCTAGTAGACATTAATCGCACCATAAAGATAAAATTAAATGATTCTAATTAGTAGAAAATACCAAAGACTTTTGAGTTTCAACCATTCTCTCTAATCATCATGAGTACTTTAACATTTTTGTAGGAAACAAATTGATGACACTTAAAATAGTTTTGTAATTAAATTCTAAATGGGTTCGCCAGACCTCTTTAAACAAAGTTTTTGATTTAACCCCGATCTTGTTTCAATGTTTGATCTACTTTTTGAGCTTAAATTTCTTGAATCATTTCTCTCCTCGTGTAAGATTCTCACGAAAGCATTTGCAAGCGTATCAAAACGCCAAACACACTTGTAATTCTTTTTGACAATTGCGACAAATATTAGTTGAAGTTGATGAGAACAACAACAAAACTTAATAAATAATGAGAGTTCAAACAACAATCAAAGTCTTTACTCCATTTATCTTGCCCATTATGTTGCTTGCCCTCTAAGATTAGATGGGTTCAAATAATGTTCTAACAAGTAAACTCATATTGCATTTTTAAAAAGATGATAGTGGTAGCATAACTAACATGAACAAGTCCAAGAAACATCTAACAATTTTTCGTGTTTTTCGTTGATATAACACATATAACACAGACAAAGAGCCATTTGCTTCTTCACGATACTTAACTCATCAACATGGGTATTCTTTTGATTTTGAAAACCTTGTGTGAAGCGTAAAATTGAGCTTATAATTTTTTTTTTATTATATATAAGCAAAATTACTCATAATTAGCGAATAAACCACAACAGAAGCCCACCAGATTCCAAAGTGCTTTTCGATTTCCAATGAAAATTTATGTTGCTAATTCCTTTGTTTATAGTACGTAAACAAAATTTCGAGCCCCCTTCACAACGCGAATATAGTAAAATATTCATCACCAAGATCCTCTATAATTTGTTTAGTTGTTTTTTTTTTATTTTAGCACAACAATCAATGATCTCTTTTTTAATCATAGTACATGTTAATAGGCAATTACCCGAAACAATTTCTACTTGACATTTGAAACATCATTTTGTGCTTTATCGTAATAGATCGCATAAACAAGAATTTGAAGCTTTCATTTATATTTTGTCATCGTATGCTTTAGCAAAAACATGTATTGATTTCTTTTTACAATCTCTTCATTTCATATATTTCTCATAAGCCACATTATGAGCTTTTTTAAGTCGCAACTTACAAGCATGTTTTGTAAGCTATTTCGTTTCTTCTACGAACGAAATCCTCCATTAACAAATGCATCTTCTTATAGATTAACTTTAACTTCACATTTGAACAAGTAAAAAATAAATAAAAAGTTGCACCATTCTCTATACTCTAATCTGACCCAATACCATTTTTTAAACCAAAACATACTAAGGGAGTGTGTGAAATGTTCATTGACTTATTGAAGTTTGACACAGATGATATAGTGTGTTAAGTGTTGGTGTATCTAGATTTCATAAACACTTATCAACTCAATAAGAAATTTTTTAAGGTATTTATTCCTTACTTATTAACTTATTTACAGAGTTCTCAATAAGTTACTTCCATATTACACGAATATACGTATAAGCACAATTTGCTAAACACTAAAAAGATATCTTATCAACTTATTATGTTTTGGTATTAGATAAGCTAATCAAAATATTTTTTAGACTCCGTTTTAAACAATCTCAAACACCCCTAAAGTGACATTGGTCTCCAATACCTATCGTGTAGGACATGAATGACTTTTTGATTGACAAGGCCTAAGAATTTATGCTTGCTTAACATAATTTCATCGATAATACATGTTTAGGTGTTGTTTGTTTTTTCTAAAAAACCACTTCAGATCACTTATTGCTGCGCCGCGCAACACTCGACCCTTAGCAGTTGTGTGTTTTTCAGAAGACTTTCAACTTAAAAACTGTTGCGTGTGTGCTACGTGGCGTAGCAATAGACCAACTGCTTCAAACTTCTTCACACCTTACTTTAGCTTACTGCAGACGTTAAAAAACAAACATAATTTTTATTAAATACTGCAGCCGTTTGGTCCATCTCTTCTACTACAGAAGGTTGCAGATGTGGTTAGCAGATTTCAAGCATATTTGCTTCGAAAAAACAAAAAACACCTTATTAATCTTTCACGCATCTCAACTACCAAAACTTGTATCATGGTAAAGAAAATGAAGTTTCTTAAAATTTCATTTTATTTAAAGGTTAGTATATAAAAAACTTTATATATTGAGTTTTATTATTATTTTTTTAAAACTAAAAGTAAAATTTATTTTTTCATGAAAGAGACCTTATGTTTTTTCGTTTCATCGAAAAAAACCCTTAAATTTTTATTTTTTATGAAAAAAATCTTCAACCTTTTACTATTTTTCTAAGAAAACCGTCAGCGTTTCACAATTTTTTTTTGGAAAACAAACCGCTAACCATGCTAAATAAAAAAAATAATATATTTTTCAGGAAAAATAAAATAAAGTTGTGGTTTAATCCAAAAAACACAATATATAAGGGTTTTTTTTTTTTTTTTTTTTTTTTTTTTTTTTTTTTTTTAAATTTTTATGATATCAACAATTTATTAACATAAGCTGTCGAATAACTATTTGAGTGTGAGATTAACCGTTTAAAAAAAGTATATTATTTTCCCTTCTATTTTTTTATGTAATTACTCATTATTGATTTATTTCAAACAATGCCTACAGTATAAATTATGTAATCAATATTAAATAACCACTTGGCAATAACATAACAAGACATGTATTACACAATCAAACTCAAACTTGATGATTATAATTCTCTAAAGGTCTAAACAGTAAACTATTTATTAAAAACAAAAAGAAAAACATCCCTGAATATGATATGGCTATGTTCGGCAATTGAATAAGACCACAAATCGACGATCAATATTCACGAATTGACATTGATTTCAATTGGGAAAAAAGAAGCAGCGACAATCGGCAAGAAAGAAATAAATGGGCGTTAATTCTTGGGATGTGGGCCCTATGTGGCCATGTGGGCTTCAAATGATCCATACCTATGGGCTCTTGATCAAAAAAGGAAAGCATGTAATATGGTCTTTAAGATGTCATTATACTATAGCCCAATTAATTTTTGCTTTTGATTTTAAATGGTAAGTAAAGTTTTTTTTAGTGGTTCTATCATATAATCCATCAAATTACTATGGTATATGTTAAATGGTGGTGATGGTGGGACAAATTCAAGATTTGGGATTTTATTTTGCACCCAATTTCGAATTTTATTTTGCAGCACCGACTCTTGAAATGACTGTAATATGAAGATCAAGGCATTGAAAATATGAGTACTGATATACAATTAAATCGTAATATTTAAAAATAGAATTGCTAATAACATGAGGCATCTAAACATCCAAGTGAGCAATTTGAAATAGAAATGTACCAATAGTATTAGACACTTTAAACGGAAGAAACACATGTTTTCCAATATGACATAAATTAGATAGTTTATTGTTTTTACAAGGATCGAATTTTGCAAAATGAAATGTCTACACATGTCATGACTAGGGTGACCAATATGTTGATGCTAAGTTGAGACATATACAAAAGCTTAAGAAGAAGGAAGCATGACTGGATAAAGATCGTTAGTTCTGTCACATCAAGGAAGAGTTTTGCTAGTTTGAAAATAAACCAAAAACATTAAATTCTAAAGAACATTTGTTTATCATAGTGATTTTTCGCGTATGTATCAAACTTTTGATGATTTTGGGGGTGTGATGAGAATGTTTTTAAGTACAAGAGGCTAACACGTGTTTGCATGAGGAATAATCATGTATTTTAGATCCATTACAGACTAAAACCAAAGGTGAAATATAAATTTTATTGTTAGAAGGATCATTTAGGTTCGGATTATTGACTAACAAGCACAATAGGAGATGAATCATTACCCGACTAATTTGCAACAAGTTTCGGTTCCTCCAATAATAAAATAGAACGAGCTTCCAAAAATGATAGGAAGGGGTGCATGCTTGAGGAGAGTAGCCACATGATTAAATTTTTGTGGAAGACCATTAATGACATACATTATCAAATTTTTATATTTCAAGAACATGAGATTTAATGTTATCGAGAAGGTCAACTAATGATTTGATTTTAGTAAAGTAAGCAACGATGTTGGAGTTTTTAAGCTTTAATGTTACGATGCTCGTTGTCAACCTCCATGGCTTTTGAATCTTTTATCATTCGGAATAGAGCTTCAAGATCCTTCCATATTTTCCAATCATGAGATTTCTTTTTCAAAACCATCTGAAGAAGAGGTTAAGAAGTTGTGTTGTACATCAACATCTTCACAATATTGTCGATTCTTTCCCATACGGTTTGATCTGAAGTAGTAAGAGTCTTTTCATTCGGTTCTTCCAAGTGAACAAAATCACCAAAAACTTTATAGTGAGTTTCAAAAAACACACTCCATCCATCATAGTTACGTCGATGCAAATCAAGGATCAATGAAATCGGTGCCTTGATGTTTGTTATACCATGACAACAATTTTGTTCAGTTGTCCCTCACCCATTGATGATCATGAAACATAAAACAATATAAGAAGAGAAGGAAGAAAATGAGAAGGAATTGACACCGAATGAGAGAAAACGGTGGCTAGGGTAGAAAACTAGGTATGCTTTGATACCATGTAACAATAATATAATTTCTACATGATTTTCCTTCTCATTCCAACGATATAGATATATACACTACTACAAAAAGAGCAAAAAGACTCGGTTAAAAAGCCTAATCGAACCCGGTTTTGCATCCGGGTTTGTTGTGGCCGGGTTATATTTGAAAAGTCATATAGAACCTGGTTTTCTACCGGGTAAACCCGGTTTCGATACATAGAACAACGTCTTTTAGCGAGCCAAAATCAATTTTCCACCAACATATCACCCGGTTCTATAATAATAAACAAACGGGTCCTTTACCCTTTTCCAAAAAAATAAAATTAATACACAATAAATAATCATATTTTCATTCACATGGCACCCTAAGCATCCAAATGTTGTTAACATAAGATCAAATTTTGCCAACATACACACATTAAAGAGCAAGCAAATATTGGATACATTCAAGATAAAACGAAATATTAAATTTAAATTGAATAGTTGCCCATAACAATAATAAAGTTCAAACAGTAATGCAAATATAAGTTAACTAGTTAAGCAATTGTTGCAGCTGGAAAAAAAAATAACTTGAACAACAATAAAAAAAACAACATTGATGGTTCCGGTCAATGTGAGTCATCCAATCACAATGAATCCAACTTTCACCATTGTTCCTTTTGTTTTGCCATAACTAAACATTAAAGAAGAACCTGGTTAGAACATTATGTGCACATTAGTTATTCTTAGTTTATAACACATTGATCAAGGTTAAACTGAAAGTTCGATGCTGTAAGTATTAAAAACTAACCGATATGTCTTTCTAGAAAACCATATCTTTCATATATTTGTTCAGAAATTGTGTTGCCCACTTAACAACAATTGAAAACAAGGTGGTTTCCGAAAAAGGAGTGGTGTCCTTCCAAGGTGTAGTAGTCTATATAAAAATATAAATTACAATTGTTATATAAAAAAATAGAGTCTATAGTCATATACAAAAATGATAAATATATTTAAGTACTTACTCTACTCAAGAATCCGTGTTGTTCAACCATCACAAAATCCATCATCCATTTCATTACATAATAGCCGCATTCCCAGTCCCCCGGTTGTTGGTTGCACTAAATTGTAATCACAAATATACACTAATCAAAAAAGTGAAATACAAAATCTATATTTTTAGGTATAGTGACATGAATTACCTCGTCGAGCGTCCAACTGATTGGATTTGATGTGTATTTCCCATACCTTGCAAAAGCCCTGAAAAATAAAAATTAGTGTTGTGATAAAAATAATAGAAAAGAATGTCACGTTTATGAAATTTCTTACGTGTCAACATGTTTCTTCAGTAGGTAATAGGTATCCACATGCTTTTGTACATGACTCCTAATTGAATCCACTATGTACCCGGTGCCATTATGAGGGCAAAATCACGAACAAGACCCAATGCTCACTTGTAATGTTTGAAGTATTAGTATAAACAATAAATATAGAGAAAGTTTAACAATGATTATATATATATATATATATATATATATATATATATATATATATATATATATATATATATATATATATATATATATAAAGTACCTTTGCAGATATGGAGCAATGAGAAATTGTTTTCCTTGCTGAATCCGCATCACATCAACAATGTAATTTATGACAGCTTCCGGGTTTTCTTGGCAACTTTCCCCAAGAATCTTATGTGGGTTTAGGAAAGAACATTTGTTCTTCACACGTGCAATGGAATGTAGATTCCTACAAAATAAGACAAAATGTGTTACAAGCATATAATATCTACAAACAACCTAGAAACAAAAGATTGGAGCAACTAACAATAATAAAGTTAAGTGTACTTACATCTCCCAAACGGTTAGAATGGTAACATCAAGTGTTCTTTTGTTCAACAATTGAAGAATTTCATCATGTTCTACCCAAAACTCAAACTTGTCAGTTTCTAGAATGCCATCATCAGCTACAACATGACTTAGTGGGTTGTTCTTCAATCGCTCACGTAGTAATTCAATTGGCTTTGATTTGTTCATTGGAGTGAGTGTGTTCTTTCTTGTACAAACCCCTACACTGGTTTGTGGCAAACTTGGAGTTGAATTTTGTTGCTTTCTTCCTTGAATCTATATCCACAAACCATTTTCATTAAACACATTGGAAATAAATTATGCATATACATAGTAACTAAAAAATCAAGGATAAAAAATATGTAGCTGAGTCAGAATAATAGCATTTCGTGGTCATTGAATTATTTGGCCAACTGCATTTCGAAGATTACTGACTTCACCAGTCACTACAGGAATAGGAAGACTCTGAAAGTCTTTGTTGATTTGGTCTATTAACACTTTCATGTGATTTTCACGCAAAGGGAGTGAGTGTATTAACCAATCCCCATACGGAAAGACCAAGCCAGTAGAACAATTCTGATCCAGTGCTCCGCATTTTCCTCTTCTTTTTATCTATCCCGTGAATGGCTTTTCTCAAGCCAACAGTGTGACCAACTGCCCTAGTCCGAACGGGATGCTCTCTTCCTAACACTGCTGTCAACGAATCTTCTCCAGGTTCAGGGACCCAATCTCCTCGGGATATCTGACTTTCGACCTCTGCCTGTTAACATAGGCAATGCGATTATTAGAATAAAATCCAACATCAACATTTGAATGGAACAAAGATATCTAGGAATTACCAGTACAAAACATTGATGTATGCTTAAGTTGTTAGTTGAGAGATAGATAATTCCCATTAATCTAGAGTTCTATATTTGATGGTTAGTTTACTTTTATCTTACCATGATTTCTTAATGTACTGGAATTCAATTATTACAATAGAAATGATAACAAAATTTAAAATGAAAAATTATCTTACAAGCTTAGTCAGTGTTGCTTGCATGCCGAGTGGTGCATAATATGATCCGGACTCATTTTTAGATAGCCTACCCATGACAAAATCTTTTGAACGCTGGCTTTTTATCTTGCACAATTCTGATGCTAACTCTTCCGACAACCCTCCGGATGCAATCTCTTGTTCCCATTGAGCTTGTCTACCCCGATACCCATGTGGACCTAACCGTGTTGGATTTTTTTGAAGCTTCGCATTTGCTCTCTCTTTCTCACTTATTATCTACAAACAGAGGTAACACAATTAAAACATGGAAAGAACTAGATGAACTAAAGTCCAACAAACCTGAAATTCCTTTGAAGATCTCTCTTTTTTGAAGGTTTTCCATGTATCAGGGTCTAGATATGGGTAGATTGGAATTGGATCTCTTCCATTGGCCATGAAATCACGTATTAGCCTCTTCTTGTAGGATTTCCATGCAATGTTACAAATTTTAAGCACATCACCTCTACGTTTGTTATTTTGAATATTCCAGCGTCTCTGTTTATCTCAAAGCAAAGATTTTAAATGTTAATAACATATTTTGACTAAATGAAAACACATATAATAGGTCTTAGATATCATACTTTAATAGTTAACCACAGCATCTCAAGTTCACCCTGCGACACTTTCTTCCATGTTTGATAATTGATAGAAATCATCGAATGAGTGAGGACTCCACACTCATTGGCGAACTTAATTTGTTTATCCCCATAATGCAGACCAAAATGATTGAAATCAATTTCTTGTGGCTCTTGACAGTCAATTAGTTGTGTGGCTATTCTCTTTTTTCTCTCTTGTGGTGGCGGTGGCCGTTGTGGTTGATCATCCATTGTATACCTCAATAGTTTATTGGCTATCGTGGTGATGAAGCTAAGACGAGTCGGTATGGGCCTCGACGAGAAGCGACGAGACCCACGTGGCACTCCGCGACGCCGTTGTAACGCGGTGAACACCGCCCCCTAGCCGTTGCTTCTCGTCGCCCGGAACTCGTTGCGTTGGAAACGAGTTGTAACGTAGAAATATCCGTGCTATTTTTTTTACCGTTATTAAACGGTCCATTTCAAAAAAAAAAAAAACCTTTTTACCATTTATATATATATACATACACTTTATTTTAATTTTTATATACCTTTCTCTCATTCTCTCTATATCTTTATACACACTTTCTCTCATTCTCTCTATATCTATATCTTTAATTCAAAAAATGGAGCAAAACCCAAACACCCCCCCTCCATCATCAAACCCAAACACAACCTCACCTCTCGGATTTGCGGGGTACGAAAATTATTTTAACCTTTTGTCGTCTCAAGGTTCACCACAAATACCATACCAAGGTGCCGCTTTCAATCCCGCTTCACCGCCACTGCAATTTCCCAACTCACCTTACGTTCAACAAAATCAATTTGGTCAACACCCAAATTTACAACAAAATCTTTTCTCTACTTTTGGTTCGATGCAACAAACAACAAATCAACCGTCGCCTACAACACAACCAACAGTTCAAGTGGAAGTGGGAAGTAGTAGGAAAGGGAAAGGGAAAGGAAAATCAAAAGGGAAATCAATAGCGGTGGAATCTGAAAATGCATACGCTCCACAATGGTGGACACCGGAGGAGGAATACGCTTTGACGAAGGCTTGGTGTGCTACTTCAAAGGACGAACTTCGTGGAAATGGAATGAAAAAAGGAGCTTATTGGGGGGCGGTGCTCGACAAGTTTCACGCTATTTTAAAGAAAAATCCGTATCGCAACAACGACTTGTTGAGCAGCAAATGGGGTATGATAAGTAAGCGGTGCAGCAAATTCAACGATATTTACAACCGGATTGCGGCGCAACAACAAAGTGGAACCAACGACTTTGATTTGTTCAAAGCTGCGAAGGAACAATATCGGGTCGAAATGGGTCATGTTTTCGACTTTGAAAAATCATGGGAATTGTTGCGAGCGGATCCAAAGTGGAATAAAATGCCTACATCGTCGGAGGTTCAATCCAAAAGGTCTCGCAATTCTAGTTCGGTCGACGTGTCGGACGCACGGACTAACATCGACCTAAATGCCGATGACGATGAGATCCCGGATGATATCCAAGAGATATCCCCACCACGACGACCGCCCGGACGCGACAAAGCGAGGCGCGCTGCAAGACATGCGGAGGAGGTGGAGACGAGAGCAAAAGATGCGGCGGAAATGAGAGCGAAATTCAACGAACATAATTTGTTAATAAAAGAAAAAAATGAGTTGAAACATCGTCATTTGGAATTTCTGGAAAGGCAGGCACGGGAGAAGCAGGAGCAAAAAGAGAAGGAATTAATGACACAACAGTTGTCAATTCTCCGGACAAGCGAGGAGGGTTTAGCACCTGCTGATCTAGTTGTGCTACAAACAATGAAGGAACAAATTAGGAAAAAATATTTGGGTTGATTAGGATTTGTGTGTGGTATTTAGTAGTGATTTCAATGTTATTTTAGTTATTAATTTAGGTTTAAAACTATGTTTTTTTAATTGTAATCGGATTTTAGATTTTAAATGTTATGTCTTTTTTTTTTGTTTTTAAAATTATATGTTTTATAAAAAAAAATATTAGTTATTAAACAAACGCAAAAGGAAAAAAAAAAGAAAACAAAAAAAAAGTAAAAAAAAAACGAAATAGTAAAAAAAAAATACAAAAATAAAAATATTTATTTTCAAAATATTGGTGTTACATCTTGTTGCTTCTTGTTACCTATTTCCCCACTTGGTGTTATAACACCACTTGCTTATGTGACATGTGAGGTGGTATTGCACCTTGTTGCCCACACCCAATGCTCTAAGCATTAACATTGTTTGTGAGTATAACTTGGTGGTTTTGAATTTTACAGGAGCTTCAAAACCGCATAATGGGGTCAAATGGCGGGATATCGAAAATTAATGGCGGTAATTTTATCCATTACACAACGTGGTTGAATGGGTAGAAACTAATTTGTTTAAAAATAAATAATTAAGGTTAATTTGCATTATGGAAACAAAACTTCGGTTAATTATAACCTGTGATGGAAAATGGTAACATATAACTACATAAGGTTAATTTCCAATTAATATAATCTTGTTTTTTAATTCGCCATGGTTAATGTATAAGATTAATTTCGATTGGTATAAACTTTTTTTTTTATTAATATCCATGTGATTATATACCCTTTTGCGTAAAGTTAATATCAAATTTGACTAAATCAACATAAGATTTGTTAATTACGGATTTTTTTTTTTTTTTTTTTTTTTTTTTTTTTTTTTTTTACACACTTTTCAATTACAAACATCCCTTTATTGGGGTATTATTATTATTATTATTTTTTCAACAGCCACATATATTGGGGTATTATTTATTATTGAAAAAACATCAATGATCCTTGTGTTTTCCCAGATTCTGAAGTTTAGTCCCCGTGGTTTAAAAATCTCATAGATGGTCCCCGTGTTTTCAAAACTTTTGACGATTGGTCCTTATTGCTAACTCCGTTAACTTTTGTCCGTTAATTGAGGGGCATTTTCGTCATTTCACACCACAGGGACCATTTATGATCTTTTCAGTTATTTAAAAAAAAATGAATTAATATGCAAATGAAGGGTGCCACCCTCTCTCTCTCTCTCTAAATTATTTAAATCCAATTTATCCAACGTGAGAGAAGCTAAACTGTCGGGGATTAATTTGATAAGATCATTGCTGTTGATGTTGAATTCTTTGAGTTCAGTTAAATCACCGATGGAATCAGGAATCTTGCCGGAAAAGTGATTTCGTGAAGCCATAGTTCGATAACATTAATGGAACCACTCATTCCGACTCCTGATTGACCATTTGACCAAAAGATTCTTACACCCGACTCGTTGAATGTCGCCGGAATTCCACCGGAAATCCGATTCATCAACAATTTTAGATCCCCAAGAGACTGCATAAGTCCGAGAAATTCCGTCAAAGTTCAGGCCAAATTGTAACTTATCAATGAATGATTCTGTAATTGGGCGGAATTCTGAAGATCAATCGGAATCGACCAATCGGTGGTAGCTTTGAGAGGGTTGCTATCCAAAGCTAAAACCTCTAAACTGTCGAGTCCAAGGAAGAAATCCGACGAAACTGAATCAAATTGGCCATAACTGAAATACGCCCACCTCAAATCCGTCAACCCATTTAACGAAGGTAAAGCTTCGATGAACTGATTCTTTTGAAACCTAAATTCGTAAGCATTAACAATTGATTTAAATTACTCCGGCAAAACACCCTTCAAGTTCATACCCTCAGCAAAGCGGGGTCCCACCCTCTTCGAATTTCCTCCACCGTCGAATGAGAAAAACATCAAAATCTTGATTCTTCTTCTTCTGAAGCTTCATATCTGGAAATGGGGTTGATTTTGATTTCATCTTCAAACCATATGCGTTTTGTAAACCCATATTGAAATCAGGTTTTTATTTCTAAACCCTACACATTAAAACCATATCAGATGACGAATTAACGCTCACGGATTCAATCTCACCTTTCGAACAGAGTCTGAATTTGAACAACGAGTGAACCGAGTGATGTTCTACATTTACTGGCTCAACAACACACCCACCGGAGTCTGCAGGCCTTGTTATTCTCCGAATTGTTCATTGTTTTCTTCTTCATTCCATCTCCCTTCTTCGAAATTGTTGGAAAAACAAACAAACCCAAAATCCCAAATTCTTTTATAAACAAAGTTCTTGAATTTTGGTAACCATCGTCATTGTATTGATAAGATTCGTCATCTTCTTCAAAATTTATAGTGGCGAAATGGATGATTGTAGCTAAAGATGAATAAACGGATAGTGGGTGTTGTGAATCGATTTGGGAAACACCCATTTGAGATGGATCTGTGAATTGGATTAAATTAAGTGATATATTTGGAGAGAGACCCCTTTGCATATTATTTCATTTTCTTTTAAATAACTGAAAAGATCATAAATGGTCCCTGTGGTGTGAAATGATGAAAATGCCCCTCAATTAACGGAGTTAGCAATAAGGACTAATCGTCAAAAGTTTTGAAAATACAGGGACCATCTATGAGGTTTTTAAACCATGGGGACTAAACTTCAGAATCTGGGAAAACACAGGGACCATTTATGATGTTTTTTCTTTATTATTTATGTCATATGATTATATTTTAAAAATTTAATATAATGAAATATAATAACAATAATTTCTAGTTATAACTGTTGTTATCGTGATTTTATTAAAAAAATAATTTAAGAATATTCCGCTTAGAGGTTAATAATGAATTTATTTTGTTGTTGAAGATGGTTTAATTCGGAGCTTAAGAACAACCATATTTAATAAAAATATTTCAATACAAACCAAATTTAAAAGGGTTTTTTGGACCTAAACAATAAAACTGGAGAGCCTAACTAATTTCAAATTTCTACAAACAAATCCAATAAGTAGCGCATCCTGTCAATCCTGTTATCTCGTAGTTGGTTGACCTGCAATAAAACAAACTATATTAATATGTTGATCATAATGGAAAATTTTCATTGAATTTTGTTTGTTTCAAATCAAATAACTTGGTTGTTACCTTTTAATATTGTGTCATCATTCTCATAATCCTTCGTCGTGGTCAGATCTTAAGTAAGTGGTATCATCAATATTATCATTCGACGAAGGGATACCAATGGAAAACGGAGGTAGCTCGTCAAAATGATCATAATCTTCTTCATCTGTGACATTATCAACACCAAGTATACGCCGTTTACCATGCAAGACGATGTGCCATCCCGAATCCTTTGGATCCTCGACAAAAAAAATACTTGGGTGGCTTGTTTGGCTAAAATGAATGGCTCGGATACATAGCCATT